TTTTTTTCAAGGGGCTGGGAACATGACCTTTTAATTTTCCCCTTTTGTCCTCCTTGCCTGGGACATGGATGTGATGGTGAGAACTGCATCAACCATCCTCTGTTCATGAAGAACCTTGGAAATGGATGCGGCAGAAAGATAAATGAAACCTTGGTCCCTGGTACTTTGTGGAGCTGCCAAACTTAACCTCAATCTCTTACTTCTGAACTTATTTCACATGAGAGAATCACCTTTACATTAATTAAGCTATCAAAACTGGGTTTTCATTACTAGCAGCTGAAGACAATTTTTAACCAAAATAGAATTATTAGGAAAGGCTTCTGTAGTAGATTGTATTTTTCCCAAGTGGCCCATAACAATATCTCCTATCTCACAGGATCATTGCACAATGTGAGCTGGATATTTCTCCCATTGATGGTGGAAACCGTACCTCCTCCCCTTGAACTTGGGTAGACCTTTGTGACTGTCTCCACTAACAGTATGGTGGAAGTGGTGCTACGTGACTTAAGGCTAGATCATAAAAATGCCAGGCACTTCCTCCTGGCTCTCTCTTGGGACACTCACTCTTGGAATGCAGCCACCATGCTGTGAGGAAGCCCAAAACTTGCCCAGGCAGACGGATCACATGGAGAGGCCACAAGTAAGTGTTCTGGCCAACAGCCCAAATGAGGTCCCGGACAAGAGCCAGCACTAACCACCAGTTGTGAATGATGACTCTTAGGGTGATTCTAACCCCTGGCCACCAAGTTGCCCTTTGTCTTGAAGTTCTCTCCAGATATCGGGGAGTAGAGACACACTCTCCCCACTTTGCCCTGTCCAAACTGCTGGCCCAGGGAATCTGCAAGCATAATAACATGGTTGTTCTATGCCACTAAGTTTTGGGCACCACTTCTTTGAGTATTGATACTTGAGCTGACACCAGAATGAGAAGGAGAAACTGACTATGAGAAGATCGGGGGTAGGACACTGTGGTGGTGGGAAAAGCAAGAGGAAAAGTCATGCAAAGGAAATGTATCTGTAGTATCTGAAGAGCAGCAAGAAGGCCACAGCGTCTGGAGTGAACAACAACGTCTGGAGTGAACAACAACGTAAGTGGTAGGAGGCAGTGCCACAGAGGTGGGCGGGGATCAGAGACCCCTAAGGGTCTCTTAGGGGATGGAGCTTCTCCAAGGGAATCAGTCATAGGGAGCGTCTCCTAGGCATGGTGATAACTTCCAGGGTTACCTCTCCCAGTAGGAAGAATGGCTTCTGAAAAGGCCTTCAATGCCTTAACCCAAAGGAAGAACCCATGGTAGGAATCTTCAGCTTTTGGTGGGGAGGGGTTTTTTTTTTTTTTAGAAGAGGAAATAGAGGATTGAAGGTGTTAGGGGATATAACTGTTCAACGTCTAAAGCGAATCACTATGTATAAGAAAAAGCATAAACCCCATAGCCTGGCATTTTAGGTACCTGGTTTCCAGACCAATCACTTGACCCCCAATCCCACCTCCAACCTGCCTTTAGAAATTTATCCATGTTCTAACCATGTGTGATGATGCACCATTCTCCAGATATATCATGCACCTTTAGGCCTAGGAGCATTTCCGTGCTGACCACTTGCCTTATGTACCCTCCTCCATCAACATCCTGGCCTGGTGGGCTCCTTCAAATTCCATCTTAGGGGCACCTCTTCTGACAATCTTCTTAGATATCCCAAGGGGGAATAAGTCTCTCTCTCCCCCATCCCCCTGCAGATTTTGCACAAAACTGTAATTGTGCAAATTATACTTAGCAGAGTAGCATAACTGACTGTTTACCTGTTACTCTTCCCCATTCCACCCTTTCCCCGCCCCCCCCACAAAAAAGGGATACCTATTCAAGGGCAGGTTCTGAGCCTTATTTATCTTTGGGGCTCCAAGGCCCATCCTAGTGCCTATAGCACTGTAAAAATCCTGTGATGTCCCATCCAAAAGGAATAAGCTGGATGGATGGATGGTTAGATGGTTGGATGGAAGGGGGGATGGCAGGATAGGTGGGTGGGTGGATGGATGGATGGTTAGATGAATGGGTTAATGGGTTGATGGGTGGATGGATGGATGAGGAGTTTGACAAATGATTGGATGGGAGGATGGGTGGATGGTTGGAAGGATAGGTGGACCTCTGAACAGTGGATAAACTGAGGGGGGATATCAATGAGTGCATAAATGTGCCATAAGGGGCATACATAGATTAAAGGACAGATGAGTGGGTGAAAAGCTGGCTACATGAGCGGGTGAGAGTTTGATTATACAGATAGATGGGCAGGGGGATGAATGTATTTATGACTGGGTTCCTGGAGGGATGGAAGGGAGTATTTAAACCAGAAGTCAGCAAGCCTTTTCTGTAAAGGGCCACATAATAAATATTTTAGGCTTTGTGGGGCACATACAGTCCTGGCCATGTATTTTTCTTTACCTTTTTTGCCCCCAAACTGTATATTTGACAAGAGTCTAGTATCAAGAATATATGGAAAACTCTTACATCTTTTTTTTGAAGTACAGTTGATGCATCTTCATTGCCTTTTTTCACAAACATTTATTTTTTTAAGTTTATTTATTTATTTTAAGAGGGGGGGGGAGAGAGAGAGAGAGAGAGAGAGAGAGAGAGAGAGAGAGAGAGAGAGAGAGAGAGAGAGAGAGAGAGAGAGAGAGAGAATCTTAAGCAGGCTCCTGACATAGGGCTCGAACTCACAAATTGGGAGATTGTGACCTGAACTGAAACCAAGAGTCAGACACTTAACCAACTGAGCCACCCAGGCACCCCTTTTGCAAACATTTAAAACCTATAAAATCCATTCTTAGTTAATAGGCTACAAAAAAACAGGATCTTGGTCATTAGGACTCAGGTTTGGGTGACGAGAATTTTTAGTTAGCTCTATCTACCATTTGACAAGCTCAGGGTTGAATCCCAAACACAGAAGGCCAGAGGACACCCCCTCCACCCCCCACTGCCCCAAAAGAGCATAATGGAGCCAGAGACTTTTCTAGCTGGGGAGGTTCAGAATGCACGCTCAGCCCTTCCCCTCACTGCACAGCCTTGGGATTTCAATAGCATCGAACTGTAAGGAGGAATTCTGAGAGAGAACCTGCCAATCTTAGCAATTAGAGATGGATCCAGAGTGGGGAGTGGTGGACAATGTCTCGAAGTTTACGGGCCTCCCTGAGGCTCATGTACCCGGCTAGGACTTGTAGTCACATTGGGGCTTTTCTGCCACTGCCATCCCCACAAGCACTGACATCATCAGTATAGCTCCGGATCACAATTTCCCGCAACTAGCTTTTGAGTTGTGACTTTTATGGGCTCGTTTTTTTTTTCTTTCTCTCTCCTCAGGATATTATTATGGATTACCAGAGGTTTCAGCATCTTTCCAACTGGCAGGAAGCAGTGCAAACACAGATGGAAGTTTCCCAGTTAAAACCCTCTTAACAAAGTCATAAAACAAAAAGCCCAGCCTTTCTGTCATGCTGCCAGCTCAGAAGCAAGTGAGAGAGAAGAAAACAGGAGAGTGAGTCTTCCTGCCCTTCCTAAGGAGATCTTTTAGGTATAAGAGGGTGGTACATTATGTACCTGAGGACTTTTGGGTTTTATAATGCACACAAAGCTCTCATCCTGAAGGGCAAAAATGAGGGGCTGGGTGCACAGACCAGAGTAGTGCTCTGTCCTGCTTCCAGGAACCTGGGTGCCCTGCTCACATGGCAACAGGACACTAGGGTGATGCCACTGACAGGGGCCTCAGCTGGCTTCAGCAGGAGGCCTGGCTTGGTGCTGGGTGCTCTGCTACAACCAGAGTGGTCTTTGCCACAAAGAACTCCAAAGGCAGTCAGAAACGTGGGATTAACACATGATAGTGCACTAGAAATACAGGGACCTGGGTGTTTATCCTGCTCAGTCACTCTCTCTGGGCTTCCATATCACCAGGAACAAAATATCAAGTGGACATTCCCAGTTCTGATGTTCTTGGATAGACATGGTGAACAATACAAAACAGCGTGGAATCAGATGCTGAACTACTAGGGGACTGGATATGGCTTAGAGACCTCAGGGAGCAGGTGCCCCGATGTTCACTCACTTCCCATGTCTCTGCTGTACCTTCTTCCCTCAACCCTCCTTATGACTCAGCCCAAAAGTCACATCCTCAGGGAAGCCTGCCTAGATTCCCCCAGGTTGTCAGTTCTTCCCCCATGCTCCAGATGATTACTCATTTACTAATCTGTCTCCTTCACTGGCCAGAGAGCTCCTGGGGAAAGGCCTGAAGGATCTTTCTATTCACCAGCTCTTGTCACACAGCAAGTGTTCAAAAAATATTTGTTGAACTGAAATGAACTGACTGCACAGGGAGACCTTCCAGGCAGTCTTGTGGGTTGTAAAGGGTGGCAGTGCCTGATACCCAGGCAGTCCCCAAGTCTGGCCTCCTTTCTTCTGAAAGTCCAGATGATTTCCTCACCACTGGCTCAAGTGTTATTGCCCCAGGGCTGGGATGACTGAGAAAGCCTCTCTACACCCCAGCTGCTCTGTCATTGTGCAAACAATCACCTTCTCCATATGGACCTAAACATATGCATGCACCCACACACGCACACGTAAGCACACACATGCATACATGCACACACATACATGCACACGTGTACACACGCACCCACACATGCATACTCACATGCACACACAGCAATGATCCAGAACTACATCTGTCCTCCTTCTGCCGTCCTCAATAAGAGGGCTGAGGAAACTGCAAACACCCTTCCAGAACCCTCAGCACATCCCCCATACACCCCCTTCTGGTCAGAGAGACATACTCATGGAAAGCATGCTGCTATTCACCCCCCGAAGCACAGACGTCCACAAAAAGCCTTGGTGAACATTTGTCTGCTGCCAAGCCTCTGTTCATTGAAATCACCTCTGTCTCCTCACTGCTTTTCTGCCTTACTTATATCATAGCCTTGTAAAAGGGCAATTAGTTTTGGACAATTAAAATGATTAACTCACCAGATGTAAGTGCTGAAGCATCTCCACGTATCTGCAGAGGGAAAGAGGGTTGAGTTTGCATTAATTCCCATCCTGTTTAAGCCAGGGAGGGGTGATGTTCTGTTAACAAGCTCAAGGCCACAGGCAGCTGCTTGGGGACTCACGCTTTCTCTGAAGACAGCAGTTCCTGTGCGATGACATGGGCTCTGGACTGTCCTTCTACCTGCAAGAGAGAACAGAGTGATCAGGAGGGACAGCACCAATTCAGATGGGGGAAGGGAGACCCCAAGCACTGGGTTTACAGAAGGACCTCCAAGCTGCCGGAGACAAATTCCACATACTTCTCAGCCCATTCCTGCCACTTACTCTCTGTGAGATCTTACTGTACCTCAGTTTCCTCATCTGTAAATGTGGATATTGGTAGCATCTAACTCAGGAGGCTGTTGAGCTAATAATGCCCAGCACACTGTCCAACACACAGAAAGTGCTCAGCAAGTGGCCACTATCATGACTGCATGACCTGGGCCTCTACCCATAGGCCCAGTAACCTTGAACAACCTGTGGTTCTCTGCGCGTAGGCAGCTCTCTTACGTCTTGCTTTTGCACATGCTGTCCCCTTCCCCTTCTCTGCCTGGCTAATTCCCAGTTATACTTTAAGACTCAGCCATGGTATCTATCACCTCCTCCAAGGAGTCTTTTTTGAACCCCTTCGTGAACAAGCTGGGTTTGGTATCCTTTCTGAACATCCTCCTCTCAGGACACCAATTATGTCTCTCCTAGAGGGAAGGAACCATAATGGTTCACTATCACCCCTGCATGACCGGTACCTCACATACAGCAGACTAGCTTTTGTTGACTGAAAGACAAATGAGTAAATGAATGGATGAATGAATGTCCATTCCGCTTTGGAAGCACCAACTCTCCCAGCTGACCTCAGGAGATGAGCCATTTAAACCATCTGAGGCCCAACTTCTGCACCTGTAAGATTTCGGAATAAGTGAGATTATGTCTATGAACAGGAAGGATGGGCGGGGACTGAGGCAGATGCCTGGGCCTTCTGCCACAAGCAGGCCCCTCCTCTGTGGCCCCAAACCTGCCAGATATCAGACACAGCTGCTGGCTGGGATCCAGAAGAGCAAAGACTCTGTGGCTCAGTCTGACAGAACAGATGGCAGACGCCAGGAATGTGCAGGCAAGGCTGAGGTCAGAGTGGCCCACAGTGGAGCAGAGGGCACTTGGATGGGACACCTGGCTTTTGGTTCCAGGTCTATCACTGCCTCCTGGGGCCACTAAATGTGTGAATGTGTGATAAAGTGACCTCTAAATTCCCTTTTGTGCTGAACCTGTGTGTTACTAAACTCAAGGAGCCACTGGTCAAGCCAGTGGTTTACTCTAATGACTAGAAACTCACTACCTATTAAGAGAGCAACTACAGTGTTATGGTTAAGAACACAGACTCTGGAACTAGGCAATCTGAGTTCAAATCTTTCTGCCTTTTGCTGGTCATGCAGCCTCTCTATACCTCAATTTTCCTATCTGCAAAATGGGCACAACAGGATAAGGATGCCTAACACCTGCATACTGTGAAGATTAAATGAGTGAGTGTATATACAGAAAGATATCTGTCTATCTCTATCTATGTATCTATACACACATCTCTCATTTGGAACAGTGACTGGTGCACGGTAAAAACCACAGAAATAATGGTTATCGTCATCTTTGCGGTTTTTGTTGTTGAGACAGAAACCAGGGACAGAACCAAGTGCTCAGGGATGGAATAAGAAAAAACAATTTACAGGGTCATGTAGGGGAGAGGTCTCAACGGCAGAATGAAGACTGAACCACTCCTCTGAGAGCGGCAGTTGAAACAGTGAAAGCAAAGGGACGCTGGGATGAACAAGCATCAAGTTCAAATCCTGGTTCCAGCATATTGTGTAATCGTATGACGGCTGGCAAACCATTTCCTCTGAGCCTCAGTTTCTTCATCTCAAATATGGTGGAGAATAATCAACCCGATCTTGTGCACTGGCCTTTTTGATGAGGCATTCCTGACTCAAGGCCGTTGTACTTGCTGCTCCTTCTGCATGCGATGCTCTTCTCCAGATCTTTTCATTCTTACTTTCCGACTTTTTCAGGTCAAAAATCACATCCTCACTGTGGCCAACCATGACCACCCGACCTAAAGATCACCCAAAGTCATTCTCTACCCCAGGGTTCCTCAGCCTTGGCAATACTGACATTTTAGGCCGGGAAGCTTTGGTTGCAAAGGCTGTCCTATGTACTGTAGGCTCATTAACAGCATCCATGGCTTCTACCCACTGGCCGACAGTAGTAGCTCCCACCCCAAGTTGTGACAACCAAAAATGTCTCTAGACATTGTCAAATGTCCTCTGGGGGGAAAATCTCACCCCTGGGTAAGAGCCACTTGTTATAACTTTTTATCTGGGTGTGTTCTTCTTTACAGCAGCCACATTACCTGATGTAACCCTTGCACAGAGGATATGTTCAATCAACATCTGAATAAATACATGAAATGAGATACAGTGCTTAGCACACAGTAGGCATTCGATAAATGAGTTCCCTTCTCCAGCTACTCCATCCCTGACAGTTTCTTGGCTAAGAAGCATAGTGTTTTTAGAGATTTCCTTCTCTCCAAGGCCACCTAAACAGGGCAGAACTTGGGCCCACGGTCAGTCTCCCTCCTGCATCTCACTGCTGTCTCTTGGTGGGCTGTCACAGCATCCATGGAGCAGGAGGGGAAACAGCGAGGCCTCCAGAGGCCTCCAGCCTCACCTGGCCTCCCGCCCTTCCCACAGGCGCCGAATTGTGACTCACTGTCTGCCTTTTGCATCTGAAGGGCTAGTGTGGGGTTCTGTGGACAAAAGCAGCTCACCCCTCCCAAGCAGGGGCTCCTGCAGAGTCCCACATGTGAAAAGTCTTTGCAAACAAAACCCTCGTAATGGAAAATATACCCTGCCAGGACAAGCCTTAATAGCTAAGAAACCCTGTGGTCAAGCTTCCATCAAGAGAATTAGTTTATAGACAAAGGACAGGGGTCAGAAGTCAAGCTCAGGTTCTTCCCCTATAAAATGAAGACAAGATGACCTCTAATCTTCTAGGGGCCTGTGATTCAATTTTCACTTGTTATCCAGCATGATGCTGAGAGCCCATGGTGCTGTGTCAGAAGGCCTTGGTTCAAATCCCAGGCTCCATCCCTTCCTATGCATATATCCCTGGACAACTGATTCCTCTTCTATGGGCCCCAACTGTAAAACAGTGATGATAATAATACACACTTAATAATAGAACTGCTAGCATTTATTGAACACTTAGCATGTGCTAAGTATGGCTCTAAGCTTTTTACATGTATTCTCACTGCATCCTCTCAACAACCTAGGGGGCAAGGTACAATTATTAGCACCTCCATTTTACAGATGAGGAAACTGAGGCACAAGTAAGTTCTAAGATTTGCCCTAAGTCACTGCTAGTAAGTGGCAGAGCCAAGATTCAAGATCAGGTAGTCTGGCTTCAACAACCAAGCACTTAGCAGTGTGTCTGGCACATAGTAAGCACTCTGTAAATGACATCTCTGCTCATTATAGATGGCAGGTTTTCCAAACTGGGAAACCCCTATCCTTTACCTGTCCTCTAAAGGTAGTAGCAGGAGTCTAGCACTCCTGGGGGAGCCCAGGCTAGTCCTCTGAACTCAGTTCTCTCTGATTTCCAACCCTAGGAGCAGTGCCTGCCATGGTACATAGGAAAGAGAACTATGCTGGAAGTCAGGATGCCCGGACCCACATCCCAGGCAGGCTGTGTGACTCAGGACAAGACCCTCTCGGATGCCTCAGTGTCCTCATCTGGAAGATTGGGTCAGCATTCTCACCTGCAAGGATGAGATGATGAGATGATGGATAGGAGTCATCAGGCCCACCCCAACATTTGGAGTTGTTGTCATTTACCATTGTTACATTCTCGAAGCTGTCATTCCCCCAGACTTCTGGTAGGGCTGGGGCACGGGCCATTCTGCACGTCCTTCCCAACCCCTCCTGCCAGACGGGCAGACTCTGGGTGGGACGTACGGGGCCGTCCAGCTTTAGTGCCTCTGCGGATGATGGATGTGTCTTCACCAGCCCGACAAGAAGGGGGCCTGGCAGGCCATGTGCCCGAAGCTCTCCTCAGAAGCTGCTACTGGGCGTTGCCCAACCGGGCCATTTAATATAGATGTTTGTTTAACCAGGAAATGAACTCTGAGGTTGACGGCAGTGTCCAGGGACAGACTTCTGGGAACAGGGTTCCTCCCAGGAACGTGGGGGCTGGGGGCGCCAGGGCCCGCGCTATCGCGTTTCTCAGGCTGTGGGTGTTAATATCAGGCAGCCACTGGCCCCTCTGCCCAAGGCCGAAGCAGCTTATCTTCCCCGTTCCCCAGGGCCGCCCAGTCCTGCACTTCCTCCCCAGGCCCTAGGTGAACCAGCCGGTCAGTGTTGGCTATTCTGAGACCAGGTTGGGAGCGCTAGTCCTCCGTTAGGGACCCTCCTGTTTGCAGTCCCAGAAAGAGCTGGGAGTCCTAGTCCTCTGTCTCCATGCCTCAGTTTCTCCAGCTATGAAATGGTGGGGGGGAGGGCTTAGCCTCCTTCTAGAAGAGCAGTTCCCCAAGTGTGGTCTGAGAACCTCTGGGGTTCTGTCTCCCTTTTCCGACTACTTATCTGTGAAGCTGGCCCAAACAACAGTTCTGACAGACTGAGCACAGAGGCAGCAGGGCCCAGCTGTCTTCTAGGAAGCCAGACATTATGAGTATTTTCAAAAATGGAAAACTCATGTCACACTCCTCATTAAGTCTTCCTGAAAAGTTACTCTTCATAAAAAAAGCCATTTATGTTAACATGCAGTGGACTTATTATTGTCATCTAAAACAATTTTTTTAATGTTTATTTTTGAGAGAGACAGAGAGAGAGAGAGCAAGAGAGAGCAGGGGAGGGGCAGAGAGAGAAGGAGACACAGAATCCGAAGCAGGGTCCAGGCTCTGAGCTGTCAGCACAGAGCCTGATGTGGGGCTCAGGGCTTGGACTCACAAACTGTGAGATCATGACCTGAGCCAAAGTCAGATGCTTAACCGACTGAGCCACCCAGGCACCACTTATTATTGTCATTTTTTAAGTGAATTAAAAGATGTTTAGGGGCGCCTGGGTGGCTCAGTCGGTTGAGCATCCGACTTCGGCTCAGGTC